CGGCGAGATCTCGAACCATATCACGTGACTCGAGCAGGTAGCGCGAATTGCCGCGCGACGCGACCTCGGTATCGAATGCATATCGACTTCGTCCTCTCACTCTTTTCCCATAGAATTCAGTGTAAATCCAGTCCTCTATATTCTAGTCATCAGGACACCACGCCCGTGATACTCCGACATAGCGATAATGACGCCCGCCAACCCCAAACAGTCGAGCCTCAAAAGCCTTCCTACAGAGCTACTGGAGCAAATCTTCCTCCAATCCCTCAACGTTAACCTTCCATTAGCATCCTCGCACCTCGGCACGGCCTTGTCCTCGACCCGTACCAAGATGGTAGTGGTTTGGAAGGTCTTCCCGAATCACAGCGGTGCGTTCGATGCAGAGGATTATGCAGAATTGTCGGAAATCCTTCAGGCCGGAGATGCGGGCGATACTTGTATTGAAACAGAGATTGAGATTGGGAAGCTACAGTCCAGGATCTTAGCATGCCGGTGGATGACGTGGGACTTCTTAAAGTTGTGCATGGAAACGTTTGTTGTTAGGACCCTACTACGGGAGTTTCGAGTCCAGAATCTCCCTTGGCAGGAGGAGTTGCCCGTGAAGGAGCAACCGTACAATGCGGTCAAGGTGCCATGGCATGGCGGAGCGCCAGTCAAGGATTCGGTGGTCAGGGACTTCGTACACGAGGTGTTCGCCCTCAAAGTCCATCTCGGAATCCGGTGTGAGGAGAATTTGGATGATTGCGAGTACACTGAAGACGAGTTGAAAACTAAGAGAGAGAATTTCCGAAAAGGGAGGGAGGAAGGAGCCAATATCGAGGCCAACGGGGAAGAAAAAGAAATACCGGAAGAGCTGGAATCAGGTGATACGGACAGTGATGAGAATTTTGATCGCGGATACCAACGTCTAGGTGTCGACACCAGGGGATGGATACCAAATGAAGACCATACAGGATATGGTATCAAGGATGTAAGCATTACGCCATCGCTCAGGACTTGTAGCTGGGGCCCCCGTGATGGTACACCCCGGGTCAGCGTTGGCATAGATCCCCGAAATGGAGTGGTCTTCCTCCGGACATGGCTGAAATGCGAGAACGACTCCAGAATGATACAAACGACTCGTCGCAGGTGGAGATGCCTATGGTGTGACTTTCACCCTAACATACCCGTCAAGCTGCTCCACGGGCCGTGGACCGAAAATCAGCTGTCCTTCCTCCAGGTACTGATTGAGGGTGGCGCCAAACTTAGTCCGGATAAGAAGGCGTACAGGAAGATAGCAAAGAATGGATTGATGGAAGCGATCAGAGAAGACAACTGTCGAGCTGTCGACTTGTTGGTAATTGGAGACATGGAAGGCCACGAGGATGATTACTTCCAGCCAGGTCTCAGCGAGTTAGAATTCGCTATGAACCTTGAGGGTGATTTCTCAGATTGGATAAGATATTCAACGAAGCGCAGGACCGTGGGTATCGAGCCGGATACCGAACATCTGAAACTCGCAGTCATCGAACGTGGATGTCGAAGGAACATCGTCAGACGCCTCCTATGGGCGAAACTCTCGGGCATCGATCGGGCTAATCCCGCTGTGGTGGATTGGGCAGAGATGAAAAAGGAGCAAGGTGACAGCGTAGGGGAATGGCTCTTGGACCAACTTAAGCGGAGTGGGGGTAGATATGACGAGGTGAACGATATCGTCGAGCAACCTAAGGAACGATATCCTAGCTATGACTCTAGCATTTCCGCACGCGGCAGCAATGGTGGCACTCGAAGCCCAATTGGCCAGGCTGATGCTGCGTCAGATGAGGAAGAGAGTCGGGATGATACTCACTGACTTCTCCCCTTTCCCCTGGGTAGGTCATGATTTCCAGTATGGCGAATTCCCTGTTTCTGAACCATCGTGGAACCTTGTCGTTCACCCCGTTAAAAGACCTCCCTCACGCATGTGTGCTCCTTTTGTCTCACGTTTTTAACTGCTGCTGATTGATCCAATCGAGCTTGACCAGAACTAGTTTATGCTCCATGCTTATTCGAGTCCATCTTTCAGCTAATTATGCTGTCTCAAAATTCGTCTCATGATATCCGTAACCAGAACCGTAGAAGCAAAGGCACTTCGTATGCATCTTGTCAATAAAACCTACAAACTCGTAGTCTCTATCAAGAAACTCTCACCAATCCTTCGCCAGCATATTCTCCGACTGTACAGCATCCGCTTTCGATTCCCCTTTCTGCTCCTCAATGGACTTTCCAACCTTCTCTCCGTCACTCCCACCAAATTCTACAGCCTCCACCTTTTCGCCTTCCTCGCTCATATCCGCTGCTTCATCCGAGGTCGCCTCGTTTGGCTTCTCGACAGCCTCCCAGTCGTCCTTGCCTAGATCTTCTGTGGAGGTTTTGAGCTTTTTTGCTTGGGGTGCGCCGGTGCTGGTATCTTTGCTTACTGCTGGAGCTTCCCCAGCTGCTGGCTTTGCTGGAAGGCTTTCCGACTCTGCGGGTTCTTCTTTGGCTGAGAGGTCCTCTGGTGTGGGCGGGAAGATCTTGCTACAAATTCCCCGTATCAGCAGAGTTCTTCGAGTTCTCCCTAACTCTGGACTCCGTTCCAGTGGAATGGGACATGACGTACGGCAACCACTCCCCATAAGCCCTCTCGTCCTTCGCCTCAAATATACAAAACACAACCCTCTCCAACCCGCCCTTCTTCTCCCTATCCTCCTCCAACTCTTCCAGAAACCTCCTCACTTCCCACCCAGCCACCTCCGCCGCCTCCCCACTCGGATACCCATACACCCCCGTGCTCAAACAGCTAAACGCAATACTCGCATTTTTCCCTTCTTCCTTCCCTTTTTCGAGTGCTAGTTCTAGACTGGTTCGATAGCAGCTCCGTAGCTTGTCGGCGGCTTTCCTATGCCGGTGGTATATGGGACCCACGGCGTGGATGATGTAGGAAGAGGGGAGGGCGTGCGCGGAGGTTATCTTGGCGGAGCCGGTGGGGCAGCCGTTCAGAAGGCGGCATTCGCTGAGGAGGGAGGGCCCGGCGGCGGAGTGGATGGCGCCGTCCTGGAGGGAAGGGAATTGTCAGCTAAGTTTGGCAAAGGGCTGGTTGGATGGAGCGTGGGAAAGTGAGGCGTGGGGCAGTCGGTAGACTTACGACGCCGCCTCCGCCCAGTAGAGATGTGTTTGCAGCATTGACAATGCATGTGGTGGCGAGGTTTGTGATCGAGGTGCGGATTAGAGAGACTTTGGCGTTCAGCGTTGCTGATGGGGTGGGGAGGGGAGTCTCTGTGGGGTCGGGGGTGGAGCGTTGGAGCGTTCCGTTCTTGTAGAGGTCTGAAAGGGTTGGTATCTGGGATAGTTGGACTGGTGGAGCCATGTTGGTCCGTCGCTTGGTGGATAGGGTGCGAAGAGCGTGCGGGCTATGGGTGTTTGATAGTCGTCGAAAAGACTGGATTGTAACAAGGCGGAGAGGGGGCATACGAATGCGTTATTGCATCATTTGTGCTTCCAAAATAGGGAAGATGTTGTTAGTAAAAGGTAGCACCATCAGTATAAAATAAATTGTACTGTGTCAAAGTAGTCATTGCAAGTGAACAGGAACGAGTTCTACATTGAGTATTTTTGACTTGGCAAGCGATGGTACAATCTCCTAGCCAAGCAAGTGCCACCAACTTTCGCTCTTACCCGCTCAGCATACATTGAACAGCACATTGAGCTTTCCTCTGCGATTTTCCTCCTCGTGGAAGCTCAAAACAGCCATTACAAATCTTGATCTCAACACACAAAGCCGGCGATACATGACATCAAGTTACTTGGCCCGCTCCGCTTAAAAACCGACCTCATCCTCATAAGAATCCTCATGCAAGTCATCACGGATACGACGCTTCAGTAGCGAGTGCGCATCATGGGGCTCATCTCCAACTTTCTTCAGCATCTTTGGGGCCAGAAATTGCCACAGCAACTCCTGGGTCGGACTATACTCCTTCACCATTTCGTCCGATGTCAGCTCTCCCAGGACGCTGAAGTCGAACGTCACCCCGAGCATGTCCAAGTTCGTGATGCTCTTGGCCATTTCGTGCACCCAGCGTTGCATCTTGGTATCAAGCTTGAGCTTCCAGGCGTAGCGGCATTCGGGGTCGTAGATGCGCATAGTGAGCTTCTGGAGGTTAAGGGGCCTCAATCTGGGAAATTCTGCGAAGATTCGAGCCCAGCCCTCTTGTCGGCTTGCCTGGCATTTATAGGCAGTGATTCCGATGTCGAGATGGAAATATTGCATTGACTGCAGAGAAAGCTCGGATCGATCTCGTACGAATGGAAGAACTGCACTCATACTGTTGAAGCGGATTTCATTCCCCCCGTAGAAGACTGGGATGGCTTCCGCTCGAATTTGGTGATTGAGTGCCAGCATGGCAATGGTAGGTGGCGTCAGGTAGGACTCTCTCCGTAGAGTGTACGAGACCTTAGCGTTCTTCCACTGCTCGCCCTTGAAGGTGCAGCGCTTGGACTGGGGGTAGGCGTTCGCATGGGAGCACATGTCACCGTCGTGGTCTTTGGTCTTGTAGGAGGAACGAGTAGCATGGCCGGCTTCCTTGTCGGCCTGCCATTCTTCAGGATGCACATCTTTGACTGTCACAGAGCCCGTCACCAGCGTCAGGTAGTAGACCTTGTTTCGAATTTCAGCAGAGAGCTTGAGGAACCCGGACGGCGTGTCATCGCTGCTCGAAGTCAGTAAGATCTTGTTCTTTTCGAAATGGTGTTGCTCACTTCCAGATGTATTCCTCTTGTGCCGGACCGCTTGCCGCTGCCATGGCTGTGAGTTGCGGTCGATGCCACAGAGTTGGTGCCAAATTAGATGAGATATATGTGATGAAGGAAAGGGCGAACACCAAGCGCGTCCCTTAGTGCGCCAAGACGTGGCATCAAATGTTCACTCGACAGACAAGACACGGGCTGTGTTCCTTCCAAATACACAAAAAATTGATCTAAAATACCCCAAAGTTCTATTCTAACTATGCAACCCCATTACTCACGATCTTCTTGTCGTCCTCTATTTTCTCATAAGCCTCCTTGGCCTTCCGCGAATCCTCCGCCCTCAATTGATCGTCCCTCCTCACTGCAATATCCTTCGGTCGGAAATCACTGTACAGATACTTCAGCACGACTTCGATGACGTAACAACCCACGAAGTCAACGACCATAAGACCGGTCATGATGAACTTGAACTCCGTGCTGAAGGGCACGAGTTTCAGCCTCTCGTTGATCTCAGGGATGAACTCCGTCGAGCAAGAGAAAGCTACACCAGACACGAGGATAAGGCCCCAATACATGCCGCGGTTCTCGCTGATACCTTCTCGGAAGGGGCGACCTTGATAGTTGATAGCGAAGGTAGAGATTTGCTGGATGAGTTGGAGCAGATAAACGGCGCTGTTGAGCAGGGAGGGTTCGAATTCGCCTTCGAGGTCGATCTTCTCGGCTCGGGGCTCGATACTCTGAACGTAATTGGAGAGGTAGACGAGGGTGACAATGTGGATGGCGAATTGGCCGAGAACGGAGCCGATGATGTATGGATTGAAGATGTTGGGTTGGGGACGTTCTTTGGAGAGGCCTTCGACAGACTGGGAGACGCATTAGTAGACGTTCTTGTGGTGGGAAACTCGAATCATACCTTGGCTCGTGAGATAGAGAGAAAGCAGACGCTCATGAGCATGCCGCTGATCGTCACCTGGCCGTCTCCGAACTTGATGCCTTCCAAGTACAATACACTCAAGCTGTAAGCACTGATCAAGCAATTGAGCGCCAGAATCTTGTACATCTGTATTGTTGCCACCAACGTACAGCGCCCTTGTCGGATGATGTTTGGAATGGCAATCACGTTTGCAAGCTTGCTCGTAAAAGGAGCTGCCACAGATGCATCACCAAGCTTGATCCTAGGAGGCTCACTCTCATCAAGCTCCTGCTCCATCATCGAAGCTGTGAATTTGTCAGCAAGACCGGCTGCCTGCTGTGCCGCTTTTTGTTGCTTCTTTTGCTCAGGTGTGAGGTTACCATTTGCCTGTGGGGGTGGAGCGGTGGTTTCAGGGATTTCTTTCTTCTCTGCAGCAGGCGCGTTGGCTGCCACACCTCCAGCAGCTCCTTTTCTCTCCGCTTGTTGTTGCATTGCTTTCTCGTAATGAGGATTAATCGGCCCAGGAGGATAAAGATGGGCAACTTGTATCGGGACAGGTGGTGGAGGCTGGTTGAATCGCTTCATGATGCCGACTTGCTTTTCATAGATCTCTTTCATCTTAGTAGTTCTGTAATGCTCCGCTATTCGGTTCAGGTCGTCCTGGGAGCCGTTGAGGAGGGCTACACCTATGTGAGCTTGCTTCAAAGCTCCCACGTCGTTCGTACCATCACCACACATAAGCGTGGTGTAGCCAGCATCCTTCAGGCCAAGCAGAATATCTTCTTTTTGCTTCGGCGAGACTCGAGCGTAGACCCATGTGTGCCGGAGCAATTGAGGAAGAGCGGCCTCGTTCTTGTACTTTGACAAAGCATAACCAGTAACGCAAAGATCTTTCTTGTTCACGATCTTCTCATCCAAAGGTTTGCTAGGGTCGACAGGGATATTGATCTTATCGTCAACGCTTCGCCACACAAGCTTCTTACCGCTATCATCGTGCTCGGGAGCATCAAGGATGAGGACGTCCCGATCGATAATCTCAACTTGGCGAGCGACATGCACCGCGGTCAGAGGGTTATCGCCAGTGATCATGACGCAACGATGACTGCTCTCGTTGAGCATTCGAACAGCCCGCATCGCGTCTTCTTTAAGAGGGCACTGGAGTACTAGGAAGCCAGCAAAAGTCAGATCTGCTTCTACTTCCTCCCGCTTCAAGTCGTTGATCTTTTTCTGGCCGAGCTCCGCGTCTGCGGAGAGATATCGATACCCTAGGGCTAGTACTCGTCCTCCATTCCTTGTGAAGAACTTAAACGTCTCCTCATAATTTGGTGGTATCGTGGTAAGCATTGTACGAATTGTCTCTGGCGCTCCCTTCACGCCAACAAATGTACCCCGAACTTTCCTACCGGTTGCTCGGTCTGTGGTGAGTACAGTTGCCACAGAGCTTTGCCGTTTCAATGACGAGGAGAATTGGAAGCGTCGCTTAATTTGTACAAGTTCGCCGCCGCTTGTGTTTCCCTTGCCAATTGCTGTCGATCTGCCATGGAGAGTATCATTGCGACCAAGTGTCCAGCCAAGCGAGGTCAGAGTGGCCTTTTCCATTGGATCCCCAACAACTTCTCCCTCGTCCAACTTTACCAAAGCATGAGCAGTCGCAAGAACAAGCGTCGTCTGCTGGCCAGCCTCGAGCACAGAAGTCAACTTGCTGTGAGCGCCGTCTTTCTCGGTCTTCGCGTTCTTATCACCCAGCGATAGCCCAGCGATGCCATCCACAACTAAGTCTTCCCCAGTCAAGGTACCGGTCTTGTCGAAGCAAGCAATGTCGACTCTTCCAGCGAAAGGTATCCGGAATGGCTCGGTACAGAAAATGGCGTATTTACTTAGGGCTGCAAGACTGGTATTGACTGCGAGACTAAGCTCCATGGGAAGCTCTGGCGGGACTACGCTTGTGATGATCAGGACGCAGTCGAGCAACAGCTTCGAGCGTTTCCGATCCTGGGCAACACCCTCAACCCAGACATACCATGATGCGGCGATTGCAAAGATGAGCAAGAACAGAATGAACAACAGAGCTTCCACGTTGTTGGCTGAGACTCGCTCGGTTGAGTAAATCATCGTACGGACCAAGCTTCCCTGGCTCGTCTCAAAACCAGTCTTCACAACGATAGCCATTGCTCCCTTGTCTGGTGGAGGCTCAACTCCAGAAGCCAAGGTAGGGACGGTCTCCGGTGCATCTTCGCTGGCGTTACCATGAGTGACCTGCAAAACCTTGGTACCGCCGTAGAGGAAAGCATTCTTGTCAAGGCCCTCCGGATCAATTGGCGCATCACCAGGACGAAGCTGAACGGAATCTTTGAGCAGCGGCGTACTTTCCCCAGACAGCATAGCTTCATTTACAATTGCGGTGCCTTCGACCAAGAGCATGTCACAGGCGACTCCGCTATCCTCTTTCGTCCGATCCACAGAAACCAGATCTCCGGGAAGAAGCTTGTCACTTGAGTCCAATTCCCACTTGTTCTGCCTGTAGACCCAGAGAGGGTACGGTTGTATGCTCATCCCGCGAAACTCGTTCAGCGTTCTTTGTCTCTGCCAAACTACGGTGCTCTCAAATCCAACCAGCATAACCAATGTAAAAAGTGAGTAGTACCAGTAGTCGTCCAACAGCCAGAGCCCCACGCAGAACATCTGGAAGATGAAGAAGGGTGCCACAGCGTGCTCCTTCCACAGCTCTGTAAATGTTGGTACTGGGATGTCGAATGTATTATCACCATAATGTTGTTGGACCCGATCGAACTCTTCGCGTGTTAGGAGGCCTTGCGATTCTTGGAACGTCCTGATGGCTGGTCTCGGCTCTTTATCTATCTCGTATGACATAGGCGCAAAGCTGTTCTCTTCGGCATTGTAGAGGAACCGGCGCTTCTGGAAGAGGAACGATACGTTCTGCTTTCCGCCAATCTATTCCCAATCAGTCTAGTTCATGTCATACGCTTGCTGCATTACTGACATTGTCCCTGAGTAACTTGCAAACCTCCGCCGATCCAGCATTTGTAACAGGAATGACCTTGATCAGCGAGGCGTCTCGCACCGCCTTAGCTTTAATAGATGTAAACAGAGCGTCAATGTTGACATTCCATTTAGTCGTAAGCCAGGTCAAAGATTGCAGTGTGACTATCGAGCCCGCCCAAACAAATGTCCATTCAGACCCATTTATGTAGGTGTTGTATCGCTCCTCGGATAGATAGAAGGCGAAGAAGACAGGCCATATTGCCAAAAATGGCCAGACATATAGATGCAAGAATAGTGGCAGAGGGTTGAGGAGTGTGGCGGACTGTATCTGGGGGTTCCTGACGAGAGGCGGCCTGCGAGACTGGTTAACTTTAGTCGTCTAGAATTCTAGACGCGCCTGAACTCACATCTCGGCGACGCTAATAAGGCACTCAACTCAAGGAAAGGAGCCTGTATGAAAAGATGAATGCTTCAGCATGACGGATGAAAAGTGTTCTCAGAAGCTCGAGAGATCTGGAGAGGTCGGAGCAATCTGATGCCGACGTCCGATCTCCGGGTAGCTAGTCTTGGACTAGCGGTGTATATCTATCACAATTTTGCTAGGGACCAGTACGCTTGGCAGGAGCATAGAGGCTCAATGAAATGCAAAAGACATAAGCAGGCTTCGCGGAGTATGTATTGATACCGTCTTTCATTCAGAGAACTTCACATCCTGGCCTAGGCCACTTTCAATATCCCTACAGATTTCGCTTGTAACGTCCTCGGTCCTCGCATCGCCCCCAAGATCCACTGTCCTACACCCTTTCTCGATTACGTTCTCCATACTCTTCATCAACACATCAGCAGCTTCCTCTTCCCCCAACCATCTCAACATTTCGGCCGCGGTCCAAATCGCTCCAATTGGATTCGCAACACCCTTGCCAACTATTTCGAACGCACTCCCGTGGATAGGCTCAAACATACTTGGATTCGCTCTTGTGGGATCGAGATTGCTCGTTGGCGCTATGCCGATACTACCGGCTAGAGCAGCCGCCAGATCGCTCAGGATGTCTGCATGAAGATTCGTGGCGACCATTGTATCCAAGGTCTCCGGATGTAGAGTCATACGGACGGTCATGGCATCGACGAGCATTTTCTCCCATTCCACATCTGGGAAGTCTTTGGAAACCACAGCGGCGACTTCATCCCAAAGAACGAGACCATGGATTTGAGCATTCGACTTGGTCACCACACACAGTTTACCCCGCTTTCCCTTCTTCCTTCCCCGCTCCCGCGCCGTCTCAAAAGCAAACCTCATTATCCTCTCCACGCCATGTCGGGTGAAGATCGCTACTTCGGTAGCTACTTCCCATGGTGTACCCACGTGTGTGCGTCCGCCTTGACCTGAATACTCTCCCTCGCTATTTTCGCGGACTATGACCCAATCTAGAAGGGAAGGGTTGGCGGAGAGTGCAGCGAGAGGAGAGGAGCAACCGCGCAGGAGGCGGGTGGGTCGGAGGTTGGCGTAGTGGTGAAGGTGACGAATAACGGTTAGGCGGAGGCCGGTGAGCGAGATGTGATCTGGTACATCTGCACGTAGAAAAGTTCAACATTGGCTTGGACTGAGATGCAGGTTGAGGAAGGCCGAACCAGGATCTCCTACAGAGCCGAACAAGATGGCATCGTACTTCCTTAGCTCTTCCAACCCACCGTCCGGAATGTAGCGGCCATGCGCTTTGTATTGTTCACTGCTCCAGGGTAAATGATCGAACCGGAACGCGAAGGTTCCTAGGGTGGAGGCGAGCTTTTGGAGGACCGTGATGGCAGCACTGATGACTTCGGGACCAATGCCGTCGCCGGGGATGGAGGCGATGTTATAAGTAGGATTCGTGGAGGGCATAATTGCAGCCTTGAGGGCACCATCTTTCTTGCTGGAGAAGTTTTGGGAATGCTCTTTCCCCGCATGACGTTGGGAGAGGATGTCGTCGCGGTTTGACCTGGGCGCTTGGCAATGCAGGGCCACCCGGACAAGAATCTGCCCCCTGTGAGTGGCCGCTTTAGGCAGATCCGATGTCGGATGAGTTGGCTTCAAATGACTCTGCATGCTGCACATAAGATAACAGCTCGACGATATCCTCACATTCTCACAATATCGAGAACCGAAAGGTCCTGGCTTCACCTACGCTACCGCTATCTATTCGACGACGCAGTTTGGTTTTGCCATGTCGCCACCAGATTCGTCCTCGTCTCGACAGCCAGCTCTCAGTCCCCATCCTCACCAAGCACGATCGGCCTGACGATCGGTGAGCGATTACTTGTCAAATGTCCCCAGTTTTAGAATCATAGAGTCTACGCTACCAGAGGGAGAGCAATTCGCACGCCTTTTTGGAGACAGACAACAAGGTCAAGATCGCGTACGTGACTCTGATCACCCTTTTCTTTGTCGCTCCTTTTTCCCTTGCAAGCAGCTAACCTTGGAAAGGCGTGCTTTGGATGACTTTTGGGTAGAGTGCCTTGAGCTCACCAGTCCCGTGAGCTCGGAGCAGTCGCGAAGAGACTGCGAGATCATTGCCAATTTAGGATTGCGGGCATGCACAATGCCCGTATTGCTGTGGAAAGAGGTGTGGACCGAGTGGATGTAGTTGTAAGTCTTTTGCTGTAAGGAAAGGCTGATCATCGATACTCGATTGCTTATGCCATTCGGATGTGGACATCATAGTACCTCATGGAGCATTCGCATGGAAAGGATATTGCGTATACCGCCAAAACAGCCATTGAGGTCATCGATTAAGATTCTCACCCCTAGACATGAACATGTCTTAATGCTTCAATTGATCTGTGAAGAATAAGGGCTTGGAGATCCGTTCCAGTACCGAGGACAGCTTCCGTAACAACCTTGCCGACGTCTTAAGCATCCATTCCCTTGTTGATAAGGTCGGCGTCACGAGCGTAAGTCTGGGTCAACAAGGAGTATCATTTTCGTTAGCCTTTGCAACCACGTCGGAACAGCAGACAGTAGGCGTTGCTACAGCGCGTGAGGTTTGTGATCTAGTGTGGGTATCTCTGCCCGCTGTGACCAACACCATGCTGATGACTAGCAGGAGATCTCTGCGTGGAGCGGTGCAGTGTGAAATTGAATGCGACTTTCACAATTATACAGATTGCGCAATTGCCAACGCCTTCTCTGCCCTTGAAGCGGGCGCTCGCATGCTTACCATAGACCGCGAGTACGATCTGACTAAGCTCAAGCGTGTTAGGGATCTGGTAACTTCTGCGATTGAAGTCAACGTTCCCTTCAATAATCCTGGCAAGAGCTCCTGTGGTAGGTTTTTGACGTTACTGTCTTGCATCGAGTAACTGCAAAGCGAGAACACCATAGCCTTCACCCACGAGGCTGGCATCCACGCCAAGGCAAACCCTGCAACGTACGAGATCATCAATCCCAGACTTCGATGTGCAGCGCAACGTGCACTTAGCGAGCGGATCGACGGGCTGGAATGTGATCAAATCACGATCTCAGTACCGTGACAACATCTTCCGGCTGTGTACTCGCGATTGACAGATCGCAGGCGACCAGCTCGGACTTCCCATGACAGACTCACAGACCAAGCAGTGCACAGTGAAGGTCAACGTCATGGCAGATGTCCGTAGACTGGCGTTCGAGGGTACCGACGCCATCATCAGGGCGATCTACGATAATCTGAACAGGGTGTCAGAAAAGCCTTTGCTAGCGCATATGACGATGGCCGAGAAGAAAGAGCTCGCCAGGAAGGAGATGGAGCTCCACATGGAGCCGGAGAAGCGAAGACTTGATCGAATTGTCGACTCGCAGGCTCGATCTTCTTGAGCCTTTAATGAATACCCCCACAGGTTGTCAAACTTCCAGCCCGCATATGCCGATTGAGCCTAGCGTCCAAAGGCCTTGCAGCCTGTTACTTCTTGCTACACAAGCAGAAGCTTTATAACTTGGGGGGAGCAGGCCATTTTGACTGCCAATTGACTACGTCTTGGTTGAGATCGACTTCGTTCGCCTGGTATTGCGGCAGCGGCTTCCATGCACCGTAGAACGGCAAGAGTATGTAGTAGAGTTTTTGTTAACGAAACTTTTCATTCTGAGTTAGTATTTTACCCTCAAAACCAGATATTGTGAAAGAGAGATGTTAGCCTTGAGAACTGAATGCCGTGGAGTTTATTTGAGCGTCGATGATTGCGCCCGGCGATAGCTTGAACTGAGGTAAAGATTGGCATACGTTATGCAAGATTTTGTACGCAAAGGCATGAATGTCTGAGCAAAGCATGAGTTTATTAACAAAGGCCTGAGCTTCTGAGCAAAGAATGACTTTTTAAGCAAAGCATGACTTCCCAAGCACCGGCTCAAGCAGTGGCATGGGTTTCCAAACCCTCTCAAGGGGTCGACTCAGCAAAGCAACTGCAATTGAATCCGAGCAGATCTACCATCCAGTGCCTTCCTCGCAACTCCTCGAAGTCCGTAATGCCAGGGAACATGAAACATCACAAGACCGTTCCTATGGGACATTACGCTTCAAACATTATACACCAAGTGCATCTTACGTGTTGGCAACCGGCCTCTCGGCAATAGCTGTGGTATGATCTGTTTATGGTACTGCAACAATGGCACCTCCAGGACCATTCCCAACTGGATGAGATAGGCGTTGGGAGACTGGTGGTGTCATTGTGCGAGTCTTGGATATCTTGGTCTGGATTTCAAGATTCAGCATCTAGGGACTTCAAGACACCTTTGCCTATGACTTACCGAACTCGTGAAAGGCCTCGGTGTTGCTCGTGTTTTGTTGAGACACGGCTGTCTCGTTGAAGGCCTCGCCGCTGCTGAGATCGTGCTGAGACATGACTTTAAGATCTGAATATCGTTAAGATTATTCGTAACCCGTCTTGAAGCAAGGTGCGAATCTACCCACCAGTTGCAGTCTAGCTTTGATGAAGATGGAGAGAGTTGTTAAGATGCGTATGCTAGTTAAGGATTAAGGAGGGTCTCTTTAACCTTGATGAAGCTAATTGCTTTGAGAAGAAAAAACACCAAGAGAAGAGAAAGAGAAAAAGGGAGAGGGTATATGTTACTCCTGTCCAGAAGTGTTAACAATACTTTGCCTTAACACGACAGTACCTGAAACTCTGGAAGCTTCACCGCCCCTCTCGTCAGAAGTGTTACACTGTCTTATTGGATCTCTACCCTTCCGATGTCTTGCCCACGAGAGCGAATCAAGGAAAGTTCTGCACATCAACCGCCGCGTGCGGTCAGCGACGCTCTAGATCCGACTCATTTGTTCGAAGTTGATAGGTTCTGTGGATCGGCGAAGGCAAATTGCCACCTAGTCAATAGCACTTTGTTTCAGGCGTGTCATATGCACGGACCACATGGTAATGACTGATAGTCTTGGCATCTGCTTGCCCAACTCCAAATATGTTGGGAGCATTCTCTCCGAAGCCGTAACCCACTCTAGAAGGCAAGCCTCCTCAGTGCTGTCTCCGATGGGTCCCAGATCGGTAATGGTATCCAGGAATTGATCCTTCACCGAAAGTTATGGGGTGTCATCCTAGTGCTGCACATCGACTTGAAAGGACAAAGACGTTTTCTCTCCCTCTGCCTCCGGCAAGGCAAGTCCATCGTCAAATAACACCATAGAATGATTCGGCGAAAATCATCTTCGGAGGACGAGTCCAGTCTGGCGCCCACGAAAGAACTTCAGAATACAGTTCGGGCCCCTGATTTCGTAGTCCAGCTTCGGCAAGAAGCTCATTCATCTAGCCTGGCCCTTTAGATAGAGTCGTGACTGCGAAACAACTGTATACGTCTCGCACAGCCTTGTTGTAGTCTGGTACTTCATACTCTTCTACATCTTTAGCGAGAGCGAGCACGCCATATAATTTGTCTACAGCCTTATAGGAAAGTCAGAGATCGTGACCCACGCAGGATCCAGAGCAACGACATCAACTCCCGGGGTGTTATTGGCATATCATTTATATTTAAAGTGCTCTCGAAGCTTTTGTCGTCTTTTCTGGAAGTACCGGTTCCACTCAAACATCTTATGGAGTGTCGTGTCCTTTCACGAGTCCAAAAGCCGACGGAAGCACCTCCAGCAGAAATCGAGTTTTCCATACATGATCCTTATGTTTGCACAGGACACAGCTTCTTGCACGATCCACGGCTTGACGATATGCAGGCTGAGCTAACGGAAAAGAGCTTTTTTGCAGATGGTCTCAAGAAATGAAACTTCAAGACATTGCGGAAGCTCGCTGATGCGACCGTTGAGGAACTGGGGAGACGCTGAAACGTACCAAGCGTACGCTGCCGACACACATTTCTGGCTAGATTGAATCCTGTAAATGCAAGTCGCCGAATCGGCTACCCTGATGGACTCGAGATATGTCGTTTCCGGACAAGACACCCCTGTAATAAATTGGCGAGTTGCGTACGCATCGCTGGGGGTTTCGGGGTGGGATATGTTGTAAGACGGGTACTCTTGCGACACTCAAAGAACACAGGCTCCATGTATTGCCCTATGATGAGGTCGCTCTAGCAACACGCGAGAGAGCTGGAATCGCAAACCCCGCCAGAAGCAAGACGGATGAGTCCACTTGCATAAATACCTCATAACCTTTTCGGCCAGGATTTGCGGCGTGTTTCCAGCTTCCCCTCTTGTCAGTCGTGGCATCACTTTGATTCGCTCCGCACCCCTTCACCATCTTCACGAGCTGGACTCAGAAATCTCTGAAAATATATGATATATTGACGCATCGCCGTTTCTGCTTCCATGTTTGATCTGAATTGGAGCTTAGCAACACTGAGTCTACTGATCTATTAACAGATTGTCCAGACCCATTTATTGACTAGTGAACTGATAAATAGATGCGACTAGATAGATAGCGCTCTGAGAATCTCTTTCCCTCCGCAGGCGGATATCGGTCAAGGAACCCAAGGACTAAGACGAAGCACGATCCCGCCATACAGATCTGCAGCCCACATTCTGGTGCTGGCTCGTGTAGACTTACTGATTTTCCCCTGGCCAAACCGTTCTTGAGATATTTAAATAGAACAACTCTAGCTTTGATGTAGTACCTTGATTGATTGCTTCATTTGCCTCGGTAACCTGCATCAGGTTGCTAATCTAGGGCAATAAAAGGGGTTTGAATCTTGGCGGGAATGTTACAGCAAATAATACGTTCAAACTTATTCTCAAGGCTTCAAATCTCAGACCGCGCTTGAACATTCTTAACGTCACAATCTGGTCGATCGAACAAGATTCTAAACGTCAGCTTGAGGCTAAGCCATGCCTCAGGTTCCGTGCGAATACTCCTCATGTCACTTCAGGAGAAGATCTAGGTAGCTGTTGATTTCTCCACGCAACAAAGTTCAACACCATTTCAGCACTGTCAATGCCGGGGCTCATAAGTGTGACAGACTTACTTTTCTATCTCTCATGACAGAAACTTGTCTCTTTCCATTTCAAAGATTTCGGCCCCTCAACATAGCAACATCTACCCAAATTGTATACTCGCACCGATTGCATCTCAAGCACAGCTCCGATTTCGCTTAGTGACCAGTTCCTCTAGAGACCTTTAATTAATCACTGACGAAGATCGAGGTTGACACTACCCAGGATTTCCAACACACACAGTGCCTACAGCCTCAACCACCGACCTTGCCCCCGAACTCATCAGCCAGGTCTTTCGTTCTATCGAAGACTTTCCCTCCGCGAAAAACCTCAGCAAAACATCTCACAAGTTCCAAGCGGTTTGGCAACAAGACATAGACCAGGTTTCCTACGCCATCATTCAACAAAGCATCGAATGTACCCATCAAGTCTACGAATATCTCTCCGCCTCCATTGAAGTCAGAGAGACCATTCTTCGCGGCGACAAGCGCGACACTGCCATTGCAAGAACCCGGGCCATCATAGACAGGGTAAGCAACGCGGACGAAGCCCTGTCAATTTTTGTAAAATTCGTCTCCGGCCAATCCTCAGCAGAGGCCGCCATCACTCCCACTACACGACGTGACTTCATCAAGGCATACCACCGAATCTGGACATTAGCTACGTTAGTACCTCGATCAACGCCCTACAAGATGATCATGTCAATGGACGCGCTCGAGCTAGTGCAGTTGGAGGAAGTGCTCAACTGGACGATGATGAGCACCAACGACTTCGATAGAGCCGAGCTAGGCTACAGCTACAACTTTCGAGACTTCTTCACCCCAGCAGACTACTCGGAGGCCGCCTTCTATACGTGGAACCACGTCCATGCGAGGGTCTTAAACGTCATAGGCAAATTTACGCTTTTGATAGACGGTGCGATCTTTCAGGCGCTTTCGGGAGAGAAGGGCCCGGAGTCCTGTAACGCCCTGATGTATGATACCTAGCAATCGGGAGGTCCGTGGTACTCAAAGGGCATACGCGTAATGCTGGCTGAGTTCGTAACTCTGCTTCCTGAACCATTTGACTCGGAGGACCGACCCGCGATCCTATCGAAGTCTCCGATTATGCCCAAGCGCGACCGGAGTTGCTTTGATATTGAGGGCGGTTCATAGAGGAACACAAGGCAGGAGGGATTGAAGGGTCTAGAATTGAGGTGTGGGCAAGTGTATATGAGGATATATAGCCAGCATAGACAAATGGATCATTTGCAGGCCGGGCCACGTCCTGATGTCAATCTGTATTCAATATGTTTGAAAACATACTTTGAGAGAGAGAGTGTGTGTGTGTGTGTTTTGTCTAACATTCATCATGCACACCCCATTGCCACTCCAACAACCTCCTGACCCTTTTTTGATCTAAAAACTTCCCGATGATGCGTTAGGTTTCGCTCCAAGTCTTGAGAGGTAATGCTATCATAATGATGTGTCGAAGGATTTCAATGGGGTATTCATGCTGAATGTTTTCACCCATGACGAATTTCAACTTCACAGGAGTCCTCCCTTTCGAAAAAGCCTTTCAATCCTGAGGCGCTGGCTGATGCCAAGGTCGGACCTTGGTAGGGATACCATCCTTTTCCGGGTCCGCGGGCACGATCTGCACAAGCGGTTTTTACAATGTGACGGAAATTGATTGGATGCTATGTTCAACAAGGGTATCGTAATCGAAGCGATAACAATGCCAGAGCTCAGGACTCGGTCGGATGTTCCAGAGTTCACCGTGGACCGAGTCTGGATTTCAGACGCTGAAGGGAAAGTCCTATTTTGGAGGTCGACTCTGGAGTCGAGATAATCGTCCGCTGGAAGAGAACCCTGATACAGGTATGGAATATGGCGTTCGGGGGTTCAGCCGGGGCAGAGAAACTCCTGATCTGGGGATCGAATCAGAACTTTGAGTGTTCAGTAGGGGGAAAGGAATTGTTGATCCCTTGCGACCGCGCTGGAAGAAGTCAGGCTTCTCATTGGGGACTGATGAAGCCTATTCTGCTCTTAGACCATCCCTGTGGGCTGACGCTTCGCATTGTCATCCTCGACGATCCGGCATCAAAGAGAGCCTCGGCGCTCCTGCGGCTCCGGCTTGAAGTTTCTGGCATATGAGCCTCAATCCACGAGTCCGGAAACCGTTCCCGAAAGTCCCAGACCCTTCGAGCATTTCCGAAGAAGAACGATCTAAGCAGTCTTTCGAGACTCCTATAATAACAGCAACCTTGATCTGCCGCGTGGTGCCGCAACACATCGTCGACAATTGCCAATCCCAATGTCGGAAAGGCGATCAGAAGAGATACTGCCTGTTGAAGCCATGGCCGTCGCCTGACGATGACATGAGGCCACGGGCTTTCCGTTGAAACACGTGAGGGAACTTTTCCCCTCACTCGCGGAGGGTTGGTGTCCTGTGACCGGAAGAAATATAGCGGCCGTGACCTGATTGGCAGACTCCGGGACTAGGCATCAAGCATCTTGCGGCCGAAGCGTCTACCCCAGATCTCCGGAAACTCCCCGCAGCGGTGGTCTACACGGCAGCCGAAGACCCCGTCGCTAATGCGTGCTTTCTGTACTAATTGGGCGTTTCTGCTATCTGATCGAACCTAGCCCGCTGATATGCAATACGGTGACGGGTGGGGATTGGACTATGACGCTGTGTGCTACCACTGACATCTGTTCCACGATGGGGCCAAAAGCATACATCTTCTCCCCCCTCCATAGCCCATCAGCGATCAACAATTATAGGAACTAATAACACTGTTGGGACTAGCCTAAACACGTCCGGCATCCATACTTCTCCGCCACGCCGATCTCGAGCTTTGACCTACTGACACGCTCACTGACCTCCCCCGCAACTTGCCCCAAAGAGAAAGCATTGCACGTGCAAGCTTCGACAGAGCACAGGCCTTCCTTGTAGGGCTGGCGGCTAGTATTTTACATACTTTAGTAGACTTCACAGCCGTTCTTCTTCTCAATGATCCAACAACCTTCCACCCAACATCACAACACCTTCACCATGGCCAGCTGTGACAAAGTTGACAATATCATGGTCTTTCCCGATACTACGCACGTCGAGGTGTCTGATCAAGATGGAAATGACTCAATCGAGAATGTAAACACTGGTCCATTCGTCTGGCTTGTCGCAGGTGCGGCGTCCATTGCTGGCTCCCTATTCGGGTACGACACCGGTATCATTTCGGCAGTCCTTGTCTATCTCGGTACAGACCTCAATCACCACACAGCTTCTGCGAACGAAAAGGAACTGATCACTTCGCTTTGCTCGGGTGGTGCTTTCATTGGAGCCATCATTGCTGGCTTGACTGCCGACAGATACGGTAGAAAGGTTGCGATCTATGCTGGGTAAGCATGAACCTGTGCAGCGATTAGGTTCGTTTTGGTACTGATCTATTCAGGTGCTGTCTCTTCACCATCGGTGCTATCCTCCAAGCCGCTTCCTACACCATTGCTCAAATGGCCGTTGGACGTCTCGTTGTGGGCTTTGGCGTGGGATCTGCCGCCATGGTGGTTCCCTTGTACATTGCCGAAATTGCTCCAACGAAAGTACGCGGCCGCATGATCGGGCTAAACAATATGAGCATTACTGGTGGCCAAGTTGTTTCGTACGGGATTGGCGCGGCCTTTGCTCATGTCACCCACGGCTGGCGATATATGGTCGGTCTTGGTGCAGTCCCTGCCATCATCCTCGCGTGTATCTTGCCCTTTTGCCCAGAGTCCCCACGGCAATTGATCTACCACGGAAAGATCGAGGAGGCAACCAGGGTCATCCAACGGATCTACAAGCAAGCTTCGCCTGAACAAGTCCACGCCAAGGTTGCTCTCATCGCTGCGGCCACTGAGGAGTCCAAGGCACTCAACGAGAACGAGACTCGGTGGTCCAAGGTCAAGAAACTTCATACCAATCCAGCGAATTTCCGTGCTCTCGTCTGCGCTTGTGGCCTGATGGTGATTTCCCAGATGTCCGGTTTCAATACACTCATGTACTACTCTTCAACCCTCTTTGCCTTGGTCGGTTTCTCCAACCCTGTGGCTGTCGGCTTGGTCGTTGCTGGTGTCAACTTTATCATGACTTGGGTCAACATGATGACTGTGGACCCTGTTGGTCGTCGTCGGGTTCTGATCTGCACTGTTTGGGGAATGTCTGCTGGGCTGCTCGCTGTCGCCGTAGCCTTCCACTTCATTCCGGTCAACACTCACACTCTCGTTCTCGAAGCGACTACTGTCTCGGCGCCAGCAATCGTCGTGCTCATCTTCATTATTTGGTTCGTCTTCTTCTATGGGGCCTCAGTAGGTAACACAGCGTGGATGTCGACCGATTTCTTTCCCATGGAAGTGCGTGCGATGGGCACAATGTTCCTGACTTGGTTAGTAACTTCAGCCTCGCCGACTTCTCGAGACACTCGCAGCTGACGCGCATAACAGTTCCTGCTGGGGTTCCAACATCATCGTCTCGTCGACCTTCCTCACCATGATGAAGAGCATGACCCCATCCGGCGCGTTTGGCTTCTATGCCGCCATCTGCGGCATCGGCTGGGTTTTGATCTACTTCTTCTACCCTGAAGTATCAGGCTTGACGCTTGAGGAAATAGGAGAGGTCTTCCAGCATGGTTTCGGTGTCAGCTACGCCCGACAATTGAGGAAGGATCGCAAGGACATCATCGCGGAAAGGTCGAAGAGCAGCGAGATGTCTGTCCCCATAGGCCATTGAAATCGAGAGTGAGATGTTGAGGTCGTGGAGCTTTAGAGCATGATTAACGAGTTATGGGACTTATGATAGGAGACATTAATTATGCAGATGTACCTCAATTGGAAATCCAGACTAGGCATTTGGATGCAACAAACTTTTCCATCCCGAACCCAAAATTTTCACATAACTTCCCGGTTCCCCGGACGTACCGTTGTAAATCCGTCAAATTGTCCCTGCTCGATAACAACCGCAAAAACGTCAAGCCTCCGTACCATCTCCAGAGCTGGAACAGAAAACTCCAAGCACCAATACCCTCTGCCGCCACGCTGACCCTGAACCCGCAGACCCGAAAGGACGCGGCATCCGTGTTCTACGGCAATCCCATCGTTGCACTCCTAAAGGACCGCCGTGACAGCTCGCTCAAGGCTATGCGCAGCTTGGGTTTGTGTGTCGGAGTTGAGACACTGGAGGGCGTACTTGGTGCGCGACGAGGCTGGAAGGAAGGGTTGTCTGGAAGGACATATTTGTGTAACTTCGCGTCGGCGGACTTTTGCTGTCTTCACGGGCTTGGTTCCGGCCACGGGATTCTCTGGTGGGTGGACGGGAGATGTGGACCCTATCGTGAAGTCGACAGGTTACGCTCGAGGATGGAGTTGTATGATGTTGAAGAGGAGGGGAGAGCGTTCGAGAGGGACGAAATTTGCGACTAGGATCTATGAGTCTCTGATGCCGCATTTGATTGAAGATTGGTGGGGAGAAGATTGTTTAGTTGGATGGTGGGTGTGCACTTTTTGGCCACGTACTAGTACCAGAGGGAGGGTGTCTCTTTTGGAGATTGGCTTGAATGGGCCGTTTTCGATGCTGTCAAGTGTTCACGGTAGACCTCATTCCCGCTATTGGTTTGAAGTTGCCCGACGATCTCTTTTTTGGCACAGCGTCAGGCTCGGGCTGGTGATCAAAAGACTTGGCGGAGTTGATGAGTACTCAAGATGGCTTGAAGAGTAAAACCACGAAAACTTATGAACGGGCCTTTTGTAGGAGTTCTTCCAATGCCAAAGTACTAAAGTTGTTCCCTTGTCTACGAGATGCAAGCTGTCCCCAACCAACACCGTGCACGTTTTGCGCAAGCGCTTGCCGGCCGATTGGCCTTTCTTTTTTTGACAATGAGAATATCGAAGGTCGAAAAAAGTACTGTGTCGACTTAGTGCTGGGCAGAGGTTTGGACGATGCTCCTCACCTCGCCGCCGCCGAGTTATAATCCCTCGTTGTTCTCAAACGCTTTTGGACGCCTAGGAATCCCTTGATCTTGTCGAGATTGACCCACAACCGGCAATTTCTTTTTGGCCAACTGCTTCTTCAATGTCGACTTACCTCTGCCTGGTGAAGATAAAGATATGGTTGTCAGATAATCAAGACGAATATTGTGAAAGGACTGTTCCTTCTCCCCCCTGGATTCCACCAGATTGATTTTGACAAGTGCAATCTGATTTGGCAGCCGAATCTCTGTCCAAAGGAGCACAACTATTGGGGGCAAATTCCAAACTCCATGTGGTTCTTGGGTAATGGGACGTATGAATAGACTACCGCCTGTGACTGAATCGTGCACTTGGTCAGACAAATGCATTTGTGCTGGCGGAGCCGATCACACCCAATACCCACAGTCTCCTGTCGCTTAGATCGCGCTGTCGCTATGCCTTGTGAGCAATTACTCATCGATCGGGTGTAAGGTCTGCTGCTGCTTCTTTTGGTGACTTTTAACCCAACAACACTAACGTTAGACTGATCAAGAACGTGCCCCTGTGTAACTACGGCGAGGATAGAATTCTTCCCTAAAATTCGTTTGTTGATACCTATGCAGCAAGATGTCGTCCCCGTCAAATAGAACAGCTTCGAACCCTCTGAGCCCAGCGGCAGAGTATGTCCCCTTCTTTCGCATCTTACCATACCGCTGTTGTAACACCGATAGAGCACCGTCCTCCTCATCCTCCTCGCTCTCTTCGCCGCCGCCGTCGACACCCTCTTTCTCCATCGCCCCCCGGCTGGCCTCCTCTCCCGAATCCCCATACGAAACACTCAACACCATAACCACCCTCAGCGCCCAACCCCGCTCGCACTTACGAGCCTCAGAGCAAGGGGACGACTTCTACGAAAGCGCCTCAGCCCTCATGCAAGTGCTTCAAACCATCCACATTCTCACAGACCAGCCGCTCCCCGACCAACCCGACATCCTTCTCCTGAACGAAACCTACCGCGGTAAGAAAATGCCGAATGTCTAGGCGGCAGAGAACTTCGGTCTCAACATCCAACTCCGCGTCGCCTTCTCGGAGATGGGAATGGGGAAGTTCGTGGAAGCTAGAGTGTCGGATGCGCTCGTGTTGGCGGAGATGAATAGGGGGCGTTTTTACGTTTCGCAGGAGGCGAGGGACTGGGTGAGGGAGATTGGGGAGAAGTGGAGGAGCAAGTGGAGATTGGCAAGGGTGATGCTTCGGCTGTTCATGCGTAGTGTGTGATGGGACCCTTGGTGGTAGTTGGCATTGCGTATTAGGACTGCTTTGAATAGGAATAGGAGGACTAGCCATGGGTAAGTTGAGCTCTCATCGAAAAGTAGACTTCCCTTCAAAATGTCCTCTTCAGAATGTAAAGACTTCGATCCTATAAGAAGGAGCGGTGGTGGAACAAAGTCTTTGGTCGATCATGTGCGACGGGCCAAGCGTTGCTTCTTACCAATTCTTGACGCCTTGTAATGAATCACCTTTGCACCCCCGTGGCAGTCATCCTGCACGAGCTTATGCAATCGTGCGAGTAGTGTGTCCATAATCGGAGGTCCCGATCAGTCGAAGCTGCGTTTCGGTGCGAAGATTCAAACGACCTAGGAACGTTTACGAATGTGTGAATTGTACACGCATTGGGTCTGCATGCGAATTGCTCGAGGTGCCTGGCTCAAATGAGAGAGAGGACTGGGCCTTTCACGGCACCAAAGATCAGACCTTCCGGCTGATTCAGATGAGCATGGAGGAAGGCTCTTCTATGGAGGACTAGGTACGACTGGATCCGAGAAAGACTCCACTCACAGGAATCACCGGCACTTTCCACTCTCGGCATGTTGAAAGGCAACTTAGCATTTTACTCATGAAAAGCACACGTCTCATCCTGATGGATCTTGACTTTTCATACCTGCATGCAGGCCCACCTCAACACCACCAACCCCATAGCCATGGTTTCATCAAATCGTCTCAGCAACAACCCCCTCGTCGCTTTCGCTAATACTCTCATCTCCACTGACCTCCGCGTTCTCCCTCTCCCTCTTCTCCATCAGCGCTTGCAACTCCGCATCATCGTTCTCCGTCACCGCCTTTGGCGCCATCCTCGTAACACATCCACCTCCATTCGCCCTGATATTCCCTTCAATCTCTTTAATCGCCCTCTCCAGACAAGCGATCCCCGTGCTCTTCTCGAGACACTGACTCGTGAGCACATACAACGGCGGGCTCACCAACTTCACCTTGACAGTAGCTTCGTTGGGGCGGGGTATGTCGAGGCCGTCAGCTGTTTTCGAGGGTGTATGAGTGGCGGTATTTTGGGCTTCGGCGGCCCGCAGCGCGTTCTTCACTGCGTCGATGCCTTCGTAGCCGAAACAGGTCACTTCGACGTCGGCGCGGACTTTTGTGGGTTGAGGTGTTAGGCGCTTGGATATGTAGGATTGAAGTTCAGTTTTTACCACGTCTGAGGGGAAGGTAACTTCGGCCCAGACGTCTGGGTTGCTAAAGTAAAATAACTTAGCATATCTCAAAAGTGCACAGGAGCAGACGGGAATAGATAGAAAGTACGGTTTAGAAGTAGGGCAATATTGGCTCACGTTATCGAAAGCTTGAACGCATCAACCGCATGTCCATATTTCTTATTCAACGGCCATCCAATATCCTGATACAGCGTCTCCATCGGCGTCTTGGTCTTCTCAGCTACATGGCGCATGATACTTGCGACCATTTTTCCCTTGTTGAACCTCTCCTCGCACTTGACAATATCTTCCGGTGACACTCTTCGCTTGGACAGATCGATGTAGCCCTTCTCTTTGTCCACTCGTAGTACGACGACTACCTCGTTTCGCCCCACCCGGATCAGCTTTTGTATACTCCTGATACGCCGTCGGGAGAGCTCGGAGAGTAGTATCATGCCGTCGATGTTGTCGTATTCGAGGAGTTTGACGTAGGCGCCCATTTCTGCGATCTATGGACTTGTGAGTCATGGTGTGGTGTTTTAGAACGAAGGAGGGCTTACTTGTTTAACCTGTGCGCGAAGTTAGCAGGGCTCTGGTAGGGGTGGGGAGGAGAGATATATGCTATCATACATTGACCATAACGAATTCATCGATGTCGGGGTATCGGTTCTCGTAGAACCGGCAGTTGGTGAGAGACATCTTCTCTGTTCTACTGTGAGCTTGCGTTTTTGATTTGCGGTTTCAAGATTGTTCGGGCTGGAAAATGTTGGCTTGGCTACGCTGTATCATCTGTCGCCAGTATTTTCTGGGTCGCGTAAGATGGTTCTTCAAGCTGTTGAGGTGCTGCGCATCGAGGTTAAAGAATTTGGGAAGTGGTATGACTGTTTGCACAACTTTGGGCATGTCAAATTCGAATAGGGCTGCAGTCAAGTTTTCACTCTGGCTATCCGGCGATCGCAAGCCAAGACCGAGCCAAGGCGACGGACGCAACTCCAGATGAAGAGGCTTTCAATAAGCAGAGCACCTCTGTTGAGGTCTCATCTGTTGTCACATAGCTCTTTTCATTCCTCCAGAGAGCCTGGTCATCTCAATATCTCTGCTATACCTGCCGACTTGCTCAATTGACTCTCCAGCCAAACAGGTGAGATGGTGCAGTGGAACAAGCTCTTTGGCTTGAACAGCCAAGACCGCCGCGGTCTACGAGAGGAGATGCGCCGCCGTAAGTATATGCCTCTTTTCCAAGCAATGTCGGTGCTCAATGGCTAATGGTTTATGCAGTCCTCCCCACCAATCGAAACGAAGTCATCCCCTCCGCCATGCCCCCAGAAGCCGTCACAAAAGTCGCGCTCCGTCTGAAGTACCAGATCGAGCAAATCATTCCCTGCGAACTCGAAGAGTTCAAAGTCACAAAAGCCAATTCCCCAGTCATTACGCGGAAGGTGATCGCAACAGCCAAGTCAGCAGGCGGGAAAGAGCACGAAGCATGCGTGGTATACTGTCTACTAGTCTGCTATCGCTGGTTCAGACGGCAGGCAATACTGGAATTATGGGATGCAGATCTCCACAATGTGCGCGCCACGGCCTGCGAAATGCTAGCGAAACAGCTTATTGAGCTGGAAGAGGATCAGGATTATCTACTGCAAGACCTGTTGCTGAAGCGCTACTCGATCCTGATTCGAGGCGAGCCCACGGAGCCCGCCAATGCTGTCGAACGTGCTGTTGACCTGCATGCTCTGCGTGTCATTGGCAGCTCAGGCTACCAGAAATGCATCACCTACCTCTGGCGCGGCTGGCTCGTTCAAGATGATCAATACCCCTCCAACTTCATTCCCTGGACCCAAAAAGCTAACACCAAATACTGGGATCACTTCGATCCTGACCGCATGCGCGCTCCGGTATATCAAAACGCCGTGCAAATCTTCTTCTCCCTCTTTTACCTTGCTCTCTACACCGCCGCCATCAACACCATAAATAGCACCGGAGATCTAGATGTTGTGGAAGGAGTACTCTATATCATGACGGCAGGATTCATGTTCGATGAAATCGCTAAGTTTTGGAAAGTAGGCCGCTACTACATCGGGTTTTGGAACGTGTTCAACAGCACACTTTATGCCCTTCTTTGCGTCTCCTTTGTGACCCGTGTCATCGCTCTAGGCCATCCTGTCAACGACGATGCGGGCCAACGGCACAAGTTCAACGAGCTCAGCTATAATTTCCTCGCTTTCTCCGCGCCTATGTTTTGGATGCGTCTGCTTCTTTACTTAGATACATTCCGGTTCTTTGGCGCTATGCTAGTCGTGCTGAAAATGATGATGAAGGAATCGCTCATTTTCTTTGCGCTGCTTATCATTGTCATGGTCGGATTCCTTCAAGCATTCATTGGTCTGGATCAGGTGGACGACAACTCGTATGTGACGGGCTTCATCTTCAAAGCAATGTTGAACAGCGTGATGCAGAGTCCCGACTTTGAGGGGTTCGACAAGTTCGCGCCACCCTTTGGGTTGATACTCTATTACATCTTCACATTCGTGGTGATGGTTGGTGAGTGCCGTACCCTTACCGACTAACATGCTCCGGTAAGATCCGCCTTCTCCGTGCTAACACACGCCAGTGCTCCTCAACATCCTCATCGCTCTGTACAACTCCGCCTACGCCGACATAACCGACAACGCCGTCGACGAATACATGGCCCTCTTTTCACAGAAAACTATGCAATTCGTCCGTGCTCCCGACGAAAACGTCTTCATCGCCCCCTTCAACCTCATAGAAGTCTTCCTCCTAATCATTCCCTTCGAGTGGTGGATGTCCTCTCCTCGCTACGAGCGCCTCAACAATTACGTAATGGGTGTCGTGTATTCACCGCTGCTGTTGATAACAGCGTGGTTGGAGACAAAGCAGGCGTATAAGGTTAAAAGGAATCGAAGGAATGGGGAGAGCGATGAGGACGAGGTGCAGGAGTGGGAGCAGATGAGTGGGGAGTTGGATCTTGAGGCCGAGGGGTGGACGAAGAGGGTGGAGAGTACGAGGCCGAACGTTGAGACCGATGTTGCGGTGTTGGAGGTTAGGGCGCTGAGGGAGCAGGTGGAGGAATTGAAGAAGGTTGTGGAGGGAAAGGAGGTGGGTGGGGCCAATGGGGGTGCTTGAGCAGACGGAAAGTCTAACAGTATCATATGGTCATGAAAGTTTGACCAACGTGACCACCAGTCAGTCTCACGGAATCTTTTCAAGGGTCGCATTGCTTGTTGTGCTCGCGCTTGCAAACTTCGGGCTTTCCTAGTTGGGCAAAAGCCGGCGAAGATTTCTCCGTCAGGATTGTCGTAGAATCTTGGAAATCGAAGTGCCCCGCTGGGACTGACAAAATCGCGGAAGCAAACTGGATAGCTTCAGAATTCAGGAAACCGTTGCGCAATTTCTTTTAGTTGGTATGTGGGCGGGAGCAAGATACTGAATATGCTGCATTGGCCTCGGTTGAACAACGAAGGGAAGTGAAGAGAAGAGAGTGCAAGATATTGAGATGTCGGGTTCTTGCTGAGTGATGAAACGTTTCATGCCCCTTGAAAATCCTCACATCCATAAGTAAGAGTTACTCAGACACCCCCCCTAGATCTTTGTGCTACAGCTACTACCCCTTAAGAGATCACCGTCTTCACCTGCCCTTGGAAAACACTCTGTCTGGTGTGTAACTAATTGTGCTAGCATATACGACCGAAATGTGCAAACCCTTCCTGACTGGGAATTACAAGTCCGATATCTGATTCAGTTTCGCGAACCACTTTCCCCTAGAAGTGCGAA